CCTGGCCAGGTCGGTGCCGCCCCGCTCGGGTGCGCGTCCTCGCCCTGCGCTCCCAGCCTTGGTTATTGATTCCCTTAACGTTGCTTTCCCGTTTCTCCGCTGATAACCAGGCACTGTCACCGTCTGGGGTGCGGGGGGACAGGCGGCGAAGCTGTGGTCCTCTTGGACCCCTCTTCCCCAAGGGATGGTGCTCCCCGGGGTCTTTAGGGCTGTTGGACTCTATTGAAGAAAGGGGCTTCCTTATTTTATTTTATTTTGTTTTGTTTTATTTTGTTTTATTTTTTTATTTTTAAATTTTGTTTATTTTAAATAAGCGAAGTTGGAAGTGTTCTGAGAGAAGTGGGCTTGGTTTCTAAGTAAAATGTGGTCATGCTTTTATCATCAGCTCTGAAGAGGCAGCAGTCACAACCAGGACTGTGTAAAAATGTGTTCAGAGGACAGCTGCAGATAAAATACAGTGACCAGGTTAATGTTGGGAAGTGTTTGAAGAAGCCCTGAGTTACTCCTTAGCTGAGCTCCACTTCTTCCTTTCCCCAGGAGTAAATAAATTATGAATACTGTGCCACTGAACATCCTTTTGGATTTCAAGCCACTATTAGCTGCTACTTAGAGAGCTTGCAGATCTGCCAGACACGCACATCCGACATCTTTACACATTACTCGCAATGTCTCGATATTTGACATCAGAGAGTGCACGGCAGCCAGGACTCATGGATGTTCACAGCAGCTGGCGAGGCAGGACCCGGTGGCAAGGCTCCCGGGTTCCCGGGAAAACTCACTTTTCCTCCTCTGCATTGTGGAGCTGTCCTTAATGAAGTAGATTTCACTTTAAAACCACGGTCTGCTTCTGTTTGCACATTTTTACTGCAAAATAAAGGATTAAAATAGGAAATTGAGTGTCCAAATAGGAGTCTCAAGGTGCTGATTCCTTACTACTGAATATCTTGTGCTATAACAGTTTTATTTCTAGCTAGGCAAACACTAAACCTTTTCAGAAAGGTGTGATGTTAAGGTTCCAGGTTAACTGCTCTGTGAAAATAACACCTTTACTGTGACTTTTCCAAATGGTTGTAACTAATATTTGGGCACTACTCTAAGAAAGAATATGAGGTTACAGGCAAGGAATTGTTATAGGAACATAAATCACCTTATAGTGTTATTTTGTTTTCTCCTCATTGGCAACTTAAATAGTATAGGAGGAAACAAAGTGCCATAGTCATCTCCTTATGCTGTTTTCAGGTGCAAAGAATTTAATGCAACAAAATAAAAGGTTGAGGTTTTTTTAGTTGTTGGGGAAAAATTCAAATCTCTATGCAGGACTGTACGTATTGGAGCAGGGAGCCTTCTGTATTGGTCTAGCTCAAACACCATTATTATTTTGAGCTGAAAACGTAGTTATGAAATACTTTGGTGTCAGAAGACATAGCTGATTTGATGAAGGGGGTATCCTAATTTGGCACAGCCAGTCTAGGAGTGAAAATAACTGAAGATCAAACACTGACACCGTTGGCTTTTGCCTTCCTGGATGAGTTCAGCTTTTGTGGCCGATGTGTTCGGTTGAGGATATCCAGTTGTGCTGGCTACTGGTGGAGTTGCTGGTTTTGGTGATCAGGCTCTCGCTGGGACAAAGTAGATTTTGCTGGGGATTGAAGAAAATTAGCAATTATTGTAAGATTAAAAACGTGGTCACAAGGATTGGCAACACAGATGTTATTCTGCTGCATAAATGTTAAGTAATAACAACCCAGGAATATCCACATCTTAAATGCGTTGAGCTGTTGTGTGGCAGGAGGCCAACGCTCAAGCCGTCAGTCAGCTGGGAAGGGTGAGTTTCCTGTCTAATTCCTACTGCTTTTAAAATGTTTGGATTTCTGTAATAGCTGCAGGGTTTTGGAGCAGGGTATGGTGTAAAATCAGGTGGCTGAGTCTGAGTTGCCTGGTTTAGACTTGCTACCATGTAGGCCTTGATCTTATACAAGAACTTTTGGATGCATGAGTCCAACTGCAGTTACGAGATTCAGACATGGTTTCAAATATGTTAAACTTAATTTTTCAGACATGGTTTTAAAATACTGTGGTAAATTTTTAAATTTTTTTTTAACTTCTGACATATTTTGCTTCTCTTGAAATGGGCGTTTTGGGATGAAGTTTAATAAAATGTATGAGGTTTTTGCTGCAATGTTTACGAGTGGGTCATGCGAAAGAGCTGCTTCCTAGGTAGTAGGTGTGCTTTGGTATTTCTCCCATTTTAGGAGGTGGTAAAACTCTGCTCAGTTGCAGAGCACCAGAATGGGAAATCTGGAAACATTGCTCACAATGTTTTTTTTAAACTTGAAAAATTACTGTCAAAGAAGTCTAATAACTTCACCAGTATAAGCTGGATATATCTAGTAAGCTGAGGTCAATTCTCAGTGTATGATTATGTGTTATTTTTTAATTGTTTAATTGCTTTAGGTCCAGTGATGACCATTCTGTTGAGGAGGAGCCAGTCTCTACAGGAAGCCCGGTCCAGCATTTAACACCGCAGATACCTGAAGCCTCATGAAAACAAAAAGCGGGTTTCTCGATGACTAGCAAAGTGAGTCCTAACTTTACAGTGAATGATGCTCTATGAAAACAAACTTTGCGAAAATTTTTCAAGATTCATAAGTAGTTTGATGCATAACGAGGGTGGCTCCAACCGGTTACGCCGCGGCAGGGATATGTTGCCAGTCCTTCTGAGCCCCATCCCCTTGTGTGTGTGTGTGAAGGGAAGAACATCCAAAAAATCCCAGAATGAGTAGGATATCAGCTCATTTTTTGTCAGCAGGACGTTTCAAGGAATAGTATA